TCACTTTGAAACCATTACAGCGACAACACGTTTGTGGGTCACAAGTTCTTGGTATCTGAGAAATAAGCACACAGCGATGAATCCATCTAAACTTAAAAAAGTCACTCCAAAGAAAGACGCATAACCAAACAAATTCACCGTGAAGGCGTAGAATTTGAAGACTATGTTATAGGCTGGATTGTTTTCAGTTTTTCGCTCCATTTCCATGACGAGAGTCGCAATGTACGAAGGCTGCACCATCAAACCCACACCCAGATCAGAAACAGCCAGACTTAAGAGCAGGGTTTTTAAAGGTCTTAATAATGATGAGAGTTTTGTTAAGGCGTAGATCGTCAAACAGTTTAACATTACAGCACTGTATGATAAGAAAGCGTTCAAAACGCAAGTGGTGATATATGATGAAGTAATGTCTTCATGGTTTTCCATGATTGTAGACGTTAAAGAACGCTGCAGGAAAGGAAAAGTTTCAAGGTCGCCAAATTCTATTTACAGTTCTGTGTTGAAATATGCATGTGAGAGACTTGATTAAAATACCAAAAGGCCACAGATGTGGCGCAGGTGTTTTTGGGACTCTGTTTCCTGTCTTGAATAAATTGCAACCCGGGTGAACATACGAACCTTTGTTCTGATTGGCCACCGTGATTGCACACTCAATCAAAATTTCGTAACTAGGTCAAACAAGCTTAATTAGTATAGATGCAATTTTGACTGTCAATCATTTCGCGAATTCAGTAATACGTCTTTAAGAGTCTATATATTTTAATCTAAAAGTAAAAGTAGTCACGACGCGTCAAGATTGTAGCCTGCTCAAATTTCAAAATTCTATCGACTTAATCAAGTTGTGTTTCGTTTTATGTTGGGTAGCCCCTGACTCTCGTATAAGCGTATTTTTATGAAAAGCTATCAAAAATTTGTAACACGAGCTAAACTTCCCTTTATTTTGCTCTTCCTCTCTTCTCCAAGAAAACACCACTCCACACCGAACGATAGACAGAGACTCCATGGAGACGAAAAGTTTAAAAGTTTTAATTAAAAAGAAAAACAAATCGAACTTAGTGATCCTTACAGCAAAGAATTACGTAAACTATATTTCAACACGAGGTTACAGAAAGTTTTTCTGTTCCAGCGTTCGTGGATCAGTCAGCTAACTTTCCTAGTGAATAAAATGTAAACTATAAGAAACAATTTCCTAGGATACTCGGCAGTAACAATAAATATACGCGTCATAAAAATTTAAGTTCTTGATTGTCCCTTGTTATACTTCTTAGGCCCGCACGTGGCCAACATCTGATGTTTTGAACACTGATGAATTTTAAAGCGTAAGGTTATCATTTGAGAACCCAGTAAATTCTTACTTGCAACGTACAGCTGTTTGTCATGTGCACAGAGAAACTATAATTATAGAGGAGAAAGAGAAAAGATCGTAAACAGAAACATTAAAGAGCAATAAACCTAATACAGATCCTTGTAGAATTCCCAGCCTGAAAAGAGAATCATAATTTTGAAACCTGTTTTAATTTCTAGCTTATTTCAATCTTTTCTCTACTTTATCTTTAGCTCTAATAATTGTTGAATGAGGCTAATGATTTGAAGAATTATGGAGATCGAGAGGGATGTTATCTCATTAATTCTTCAGATCATACGAAATGCGAATCTAAAATTGTTTTATTAATCAGTCAAAATAACTCCTAGTTTAAAAACAAGCTAAAACATACATTGAACCTCGATCGATGTTAAGTTCCCTTCTTCAATTCCCTGTTTATCGGTAAGTTCAGGAGATAAAGGGATGCTTAGTTCTGCAGATATTCTCCAAATAGCAGATGTCGTCCATCAAGTTGTATTATTTCTTTTTATTGGGCTGCCTATGGCAAAGCCCATCGAAAATGGAGGCCCTCGACTGTGCAGCAAAAAGACAATAGAAGACCGATCAAATTACGTTTCCCATCCCCCCTACGATGGGCCACCTTTTTCAGTTATTAGGGGGAGGGGGGCTATTTAAAAACAAAATCATTGCAAATCGTTAGACTTATACCGAAACTAATATTCTTGCGTAAGTTAATAAGTCCTATATTTAAACCTAAAAAACTGGAAAAGAAAATCCGAAGGTACGATGAGTTTCTTTTTAGGGTTTTTTTTTTTCACCTTCTCGTATATCATAAATTAAATTTTAAGCCTTTTGATAAATATTTTCCCTTTCAAAAGGCGATTGCAAATCTCCCTCCGTGTGTCGGTGTGTGCATCCCACATTGAATGAGAACGTGTCTGAAGCTATCGTATGGCGCTTTTTTCAATGCCTTCTTCAAAAGATGGTAGGATGAGTCGCTTTCGAGATTTTCCTTCACTAAAAGAGAAAGTTCTTAGTGTTTGATAAGTGCTTTCTCTCCCAACATGTGACAGCAAATTTCTTTTTGAAATTATTGCTATTCTCTCCCTGCGTGTGGAAAGTCATTTCTGTAGATCGCCTCATCAAGTAGGAACATTTTCACCTGGATAGTCAGAAGGGCCTTAAACCCAGCATCCCGGAGAGAAACACAACTAAAACTTAAGTTGCTTTACGAGTTTTAAGAAACAGAAAATTACTGCTATAAAACAGTATTTCACGAACAGTTGACCCTGTCACGTTTTATAAGCGTAGAAGGACAATAATTTTTGACATTTCGGGTTAGTTCAAATTAGCCACGTCGTCATAATGTCATGGTATATTTTGGGGGGCAGAGGGGGTTGAGGGAAGGGGGTGCGCTATGAAAGTGCCCTGTTAAAATACTGTAGTGTAAATTGTCTCTTGTTTTAAATGCAAATCCGCCTATTTTTATCCATAATGGTACAGTCAAAGCCCGTTAATACGAATAGAAAGTTTCCGTATGAACGTGATGTCCGGTCCGTATTAATTAAGCAGGTTGAATTTAGAGAAGATGTAAGGGTTAGGGACAAAGAAAACTATCCCTTAATAACGAGATGTCCGTATTAAGCGGGTGTCAGTAAGGCGGGGGTTCGACTGTAGAAGTTACTACAGATCAAGATGAATTACTCGATAAAACACACTTTAGAAATTAAATTTTCTGCCCCTCCCCAACCCCCCCCCCGCCCCCTTTCCACTGTGTGATATCACGTCTTAACTCCATTTTAGACCCTTCAACGAGTAAATTTAAGTTTGATAAAAATCGGTTTAACAAAATCCGTCAACACCGCTGAAAAGAGATTCTTAAAATTGGTAAACTTGCCAAGTATCAGAGAGAGTATAACCTCACAAGAGAGCGAAAATATAGCTCCGCAGAGTTGCGAAAATTCTTAGACGTTTGTATGGTGGTGGTGGTGGTGGTGGTGGGGGTGGCGAGAGTTTACGCCAACCCACCATACAAACGACTGTAAAATTTTATGACGTTGATTCATTTCTTCGTTAGTTTTCAACACTGAAATCACTTTCAAACTGGACAATTGTACTAATTTAAAGACGCTCTTTCCAGCGTTATCGACGGATTTCACTTATTCGACTGGTCCGCATAAAAAGTTACAACGAAAAAACCTTGGAAAGACCTTTTGTGTTTTGTTAAAACATGATGTAGTAGATATTGAAATATCTAGAACACCCTTCAAGACTTTTCATCCAAATTATTGACAGTCATATAATTACAACGATATCATATCTATCAGTTTTTAACCAAGCTCCAGGTAATGGCTTACTGTTGGCCAATCAGAAAACAGAATTTGCTGAATCCTACTCTCTCTCAAGGACAGCTATATAATAACGGAGCTGATATATATACAATATGTACATGTTTACCCTGACAGAAAAGAAATGAAGACGGAAAGTAGTTTCAGTTCAAGTCAAAGAGTTCCTCAACCCCAATGTTTCGGAAAGCTTTCTCGTTCATATTTTGCAATTTTGTTTCAACACCAAACTATCTTCTGTGAGTATGTACAATCCGGCGACCTTTCCTCTGAGGTAGCGTATATACTTTAACATTTGCAATGATGGAAAATGAAGACATCACCTCATCATACATCACCACTTGCGTTTTGAACGCTTTCTTATCTTACACCGCTGTTATGCTAAACTGTTTAACGATCTACGCCTTAACAGAACTCTCATCATTACCAAGACCTTTAAAAACGCTGCTTCTAAGCCTGGCTGTTTCTGATCTGGGTGTTGGTTTGATGGTACAGCCTTCGTACATTGCGTCTCTTGTCATGGAAATGGAACACAAAACTGAAAACAATCCAGCCTATAACATAACCTACAAACTCTATGTTTTCACGGTGAATTTGTTTGGTTTTGCGTCTTTCTTCGGAGTAACATTTTAAAGTTTCGATAGAATTCTGGCTGTTTACCTACATCTAAGATACCAGGAACTTGTGACCCACAAGCGTGTTGTTGTTGTAATGGTTTCAAAGTGGGTCTTCAGTGCCGTTTTGTCGTTTATGAGACTGTGCATCCCGACACGAGTTTCCTTTATAATTTACGCTATTATTTATCTCTCTTTTCTCTTAGCAACAACACCGATTAATTACAAGATTTATGTATCAGTACGTCATCACGCGAACCAAATGCAAGCCTTGCAAGTTCAACTAACGGCTACTCAGAACGGCGAAGCTGGAACGAGTAAAACTGCAAGCTGGAGAAAATTTGCAATCGGAACATTAATGGTATATCTTGCGTTTTTGGTTTGTTATTTGCCAAATGTCTGCTTTTTAATTGTCTATGTTATCTTTGGTCCATTGAGCTCCATTACCGTTGTTTTGGATCTGTTCAGTTCGACTCTGTTGTTTCTTAATTCAACGTTAAATCCTCTGATTTACTGTTGGAAGTTGAGAAGAATTCGATTAACCATCTTCACGATATTAAGGATTAGCGATATTACCGATTAGCGTAGACAAAAATTAACCTGAAATTCTAAAATTTCATCATTCTCACTCCCTGTTTTTCCGTTTTGTATTGAGTTAACGGTGTCTACAGAGGGCGCCCTTAAAGTCTGAAAAACTCAGACATCGATAAAACTTGAGCGAGTTTTTAGAGCCCTGCAGATTGGAAGTCAACTTTTGTCTGGAAAGGCCACGAAGAGCTGACAGTCTTAAGATAAATACCCACTGAGACATTCATACAAATTAATATTCAGATTAATATACCCACATAGCATCGTTCCGGGACAGTGAAAATGACCTCTACAATATTTAAGTGTAATGAAAGCTTTTTGAGAAGTCATGAGAAGTCATGATCTTTAAAGTTTTTCGCTATGGGTGACAATTTTTTTTCGTTTTAATCAGTTTTGTTTAGTTTTTCTGTCTAAGAATTTTCAAATTGAACTATGATGGATAACTATAATTATAAGGCATCAGTTTGAGTGACTTTCCAACAGCATTATGATATGCTAATATTTTTAATATACCAAAGGTAGCAGGTGTTTTTTACTGCAATGGGAAAGAGATTTGTTATGTTTAATAATATATTTTTTTCTTGCGGGAAATCCCAAGCGGAATTATTGCGTTCGCTTGACGTCAGGAGAACACAACCTTAGCCTTGCATAGATACAGAGGTTTAAGAAAACTCAGAAATGGACTAGCCTGCTTGGCCAGCGTCGAATAGGGTGGGGATCAAGCGCTTTACTAACAACCGCTGCTTTGTCATAGATCTTACTCCAGGGCGGCAGATTGTTTCAGTTTTGTAGTCGTGTTTTTGTTTTAGAACCGATTACGAGGATCACTTGAAGTAGATAAGTCGGTTTTTTATATTTGTGCGTTATATTTTCTTCACTTTATCTGCAATAAAAAATAACGTTTAAAAATTCACGGCAGACCCCAAAATTTCAATTTTCAAGTTGTAAACATTAAACTTGCTAATATTTGGCTTTCTTTCTTTATTTTACAGTCCACCAGTATAATAAAGTCTGAATTTCTTTAAGCCGTCATTATAAAATAATTTTTGCAATTACTAATTGCTGCAAAGCCAAGTTTTGATCTTACCTTTTGCTTAGTAAACTGTAATTAATTTTTTGCTCCGCTTTGTTAATCGTCATCCTCGATTACCAGCAGCTGTTTTGGGAAAGGGTGCCGATTGAAGATGGAAATCGACTCCATTGTGGACCCTGATTGATTCGGTCTTGTTTCATGTCATTTATTATTTATTTCGTATAATGATCTTGCCTTTATGACAAACACTTTGATGAGCTGGTTCCCTAGACACATTAGTGAGTTTCAAAAGCCTTTCACAGGATGAAATAACGTGTTTCCGAATTTTAGACTAATTTTCGTTTCCTGTCAACGAATAGACTACGAGTAGTCCCCCATTTTTCCTCAGGGATAGTAGAGCGAGCGAAACGCGAGCGCGCGTGAAAATCACCCCACGCGAGAAAAGGCGACACGCGTGGGGTTATTTTCACGAGCTCTCGCGTTTTGCTCGCTCTACTAACCCTGAGGAAAAATGGGGGACTACTCGTATAGTCTAGTTAACGAACACTTATCGAGAACTACTTGTCCCTGCTAAATGTTTAAAGATGTTTGTTTTTTTAAACATGTCGTGTATAAGCTGCTACGACGTCAGCATTTCGGAAAGTTTTGGTTCCTCTAGTACACCTCCGTTAAGCCGCTTTGGAACGTTTTCTAAAACCTTCGTTTTAATCGCGCAAACTGAATTATTTCGCACATAAGTTAAGGCCTGGTTTTAAAAAAGTTGTAATTCTTAGAAAATTTTCCAAATATCAAAGTATAAAGTATCAAAGAGGAATACCGAATGATGAAATAAACCAAAACAGAAAAAAGTTGCTAAAAGAATCTCAAGCTGCATGATAACGTGATCGACCACGCCCTTTGATCCACTGTCTGATTGGAAGCAAGAGGCCATAGCAGCAAATACAATAAGATCATTTTAATAGCATTTTTGTTAGTGCTTCATGTAAACCTGACTTTTGGAATATCTTTTGCCTTTTGGCATGAACTACACTTGCAATTGCCGATTTCCAAAAACAACCATTATAGTAATTTTTTAATGCAGTGGCTGAGCCTTGCCGGAGCGTTATTATTCTGGCCTTCTTTGTTTGAACAGCACAGTGGAATTCAGAGTACGTGTTGGAAGCTTGCACAAGAACCTACTGCAGCTTTTTTCTGTGATGAAAGAAGAGTCTCCTTCGAGTTTACTCCCCCCGTCGAGCTCGTCAAGCCTCAGAACACAAAAATCACAGGTATTAAACTAAACCCTAGCTAACGTTAGCACAACTACATTTCCTTGCAAATGTCCTGCCTATGCAAATTTTCGAGAAGTTGATGCATTGCACGAGCAAGTCGTACAAACAACAAAAACGAGAAATTGCGAACGTCAGCTTTACATGAGCCGGCTACCCAAACGGAAATTTATAGATTATTCTGGTATTTTTCTGCAACGACTTCACTTGCTACATGAACAGCTTCAATTTCTCTGTATTAAAAGAATTAACCTATAATTATAAGGTGTTTACGAAATCAGCTCGGAAATGGAAGAAGCATTACAAATTGTAAATGCAATTGATGTTCATTGAGTACAGTCCAAGTTCTCCTTGTATAAACTGTGAATTAAAACTTTGTAATGAAAAGCTCTCGTAAGCGACCGCTCCCTTGAGCGAGCGCAACCTCGTTTGGGATTACCCAACTGCATCTCCCAGATCAGTATTTAAAGTATGTAAATGTTTTTATGGTTATTTGAAAGATCTCTTCACTTCATCTAAAGTAAGGGTAATGAAAATGGAAGTCATTTCATATATTTCCATTTAAGTAAGAGTAACGATAAATTCAAAGCTGACAGAGGAGAAAATATATCAAAATGAAATATTCCCGTATACATGTTAATATTTGCGTTTCTGTGTTCACAGCCTCCAGTTTTATCAAACCTGAGTGTCTCCAACTGATAGTAGATAGTTTAGGTTCGATATTTTGACCACCCTTTAGCAAAAGTCACAGATGTCACGCTACTGGTTTTTGAAACATCGCTCGTTGAGGAATTACTTTGAATGTTTCGGCCTTTTATATTAATTTGATTGTAATGATCATGAGTGTCGGTCACCGTGAGGTAGGTACGTGGTGTAAGCATCATATAGTGGTTCCCCGTTAGTTAATATATGGCATAACTTTACATAGCCCTACATAACCATACTCAGCCCTACACAGCCCTACATAGCCATACATAGCCATACATAGCCCTACATAGCCCTACACAGCCATACATAACCGTACATAGCCATATATAGCCTACATAGCCATACATAACCATACATTGCCCTACCTAGCCCTACATAGCCATACATAGCCATGCATAGCCATACATAGCCATACATAGACCTACATAGCCCTACATAACCCTACATAGCCCTATGTAAAATTAACTATCATTAAAAAAATTATCTTATCTTATCTATATGAATACCTTGTAACATAGACGCATAGAACAATCCTTAATGATATTTTTTAAATGTTTCAAGGAGAATGGTCCAGGTCATGTAGCTAATTTATTCAAACCCTGGGTTACACCATATAATCTTAGAAGCAATGGTCTGAATGTTGTTCAAACTTCAATAATAGTAGATTCCTTCATGGTTCATATGCGTACACGATCTCGCACATCTGGAACCAGTTGCCATCTGCTGTAAAAAACGCACGTAATGCATCATCCTTTCGGAGACTTTTAACTAAGTTAAATTTTATCGGCTGTCAATGCAGCAATTGCCTTTGACCCGATTTATTTTTATAGATAGATGTTATTTCTTTTTAAATTTAATTAGTTGCTATTGAGATATTAATTAATTAATTTTTCTTTTATATTGTCAAACACTTTTATCATGAGCCCGTGGCTCGGGGGATTGGGAGACCACCCCCTGTGTATCTGACGTTAAATAAATTATCTTATCTTATCTTTATCTTACATAGCCCTACACAGCCCTACATAGCCATACATAGCCATACATAGCCCTACATAGCCCTACATAGCCCTACATAGCCATACATAGCCATACATAGCCATACATAGCCCTACATAGCCATACATAGCCCTACATGGCCATACATAGCCCTACATAGCCATACATAGCCATACATAGTCCTACATAGCCATACACAGCCCTACATAGCCATACATAGCCATACATGGCCATACATAGCCATACACAGCCCTACATAGCCATACATAGCCCTACATAGCCATACATAGCCCTACATAGCCATACATAGCCCTACATAGCCATACATAGCCATACATAGCCCTACATAGCCCTACATAGCCCTACATAGCCATACATAGCCCTACATAGCCCTACATAGCCCTACATAGCCATACATAGCCCTAC